TTTACAGTTTTGGTGGTCAACCAGATCATGCATGGTGTTACGATCTTCCAGTCCAATTTTAAAAACTGTGAAAATCTAAATCTATTTTCAGAAATATGTCCTGAAAAATTAATAACCTAATGGCCATTTATATATCTGTAAATAAATAAAAGCTGTTTTCTGACTTCAGTTGAATATTCTGATATATACATTATATGCATTTCACTACTGGTGCTTCCTATAAGCTCTGGGCTCATAACATTTATATTTGCTGGGTGTAAAACAATACCTGAAAGCTCCATCTCCATCAGCAGTGGGTGCAGTGATGTGACTGGCATCCCCTGAGAGTCCATAGCCCAGCACCTCAGCATACACACGGGCTCCTCTCTCCACGGCATGTCCATACTCCTCCAATACCAGCACCGCTGCCCCCTCACCCATCACGAAACCCTCTCTTTCTGGGTGGAAGGGTCGGGAAGCCAGCTTGGGCTGCTGGTTCCAGCTGGTGCTGAGGGCCCGAGCCCGTGCAAAGCCTGCTATGGACAGGGGGCTGACGCAAGCCTCTGTGCCACCAGCTACCATCACTTCAGCATCCCCATGGGCAATGAAGCGGGCAGCATCACCAACGGCATGAGCCCCTGTGGTGCAGGCAGTGGACACAGCATGGTTGGGCCCCTTCAGTTTGTGTTTGATGCTGATGTGGCCTGCCGCCATGTTGACTAGAATGCGGGGGACAAAGAAAGGGCTCACCTTACTGTACCCACGAGTTTCAAAGGCAGTGGCAGTGCGGGCAATCTCTTCCAAGGACACCATGCCCATGCCTACGGCCACGCCCGTGCTCAGCTGCTCCTCTGGGCTTTTGGGAAACCACCCACAATCCTCCAAAGCCAGCTGGGCAGCCCCGAGGGCCATGACAGTGGCAGGTGACATGCAGCTAATCTCCCCTCGTCCAACGAACCTTTCTTCCTTGAACTCTCCGTCACCATCTCCTCTTGGAACTCGGGCGGCGACCTTACATGGCACAGTCTTGTATTCCTCAGGGTCCAGTGCAACTATCCCGCTCTGTCCATCAATCAGCCGCTGCCAAGGCAGAACCGTCCCTGTCCCGAGAGGAGACACAAGTCCAATTCCAGTGATGACCACTCTCCTGGGACAGTTACCAGTGCTAGGGTGGCTGTAATGCCTCTGAACAGTTATTGCACTCATGCAGATCCTTATGTAGGAAAGAGCTCGGCCATACTGCTTCAGTGACAGCTTCTGACAGCATGTCAGTGACATTTCTCACCTCTCCAGTCCTGGAAGATTAAAGAAGAACAAAAAATGGTTTCACTTTCTGTTTGTGGGGCGTTACACAAGTCTCATGCTATGACTTGTTTACTGTCATGGTCATTTTAAGGAGCTGAAGTCAGCTTTTTAATTTGAATTTTCCCGTTCCACCTTAAATGGTGCAGCGGTTACAGTTGCACCATTTAAGGTGGAACGGAAATATTCCAACATAACGCCGGGGAATAAGAAGCTGACTTCAACCCAAAGTCAACTTCAGGCTCGGGGTCACTGACCAGTGGCTAACTAACCTACATTTGCTGGATTACTGTAATATGAATGGAGTTTGAGCTGATCGAGACTAGTATTAAAGTTAGCACGACATTTAGCACAAATATCTGATTACTAAACGGTCTTATTTGTATGATGCAATGTCACGTTTTTATGTAATTAAAGCAAAACTACTTACTTTACTTTATGCTCAACACTGTTCACATGAAAATAAACGCAGTAATGTTAGACTCGAACGCTGCCGGATTACAAATCGTTCACTTGTCAAAATAAAAGTCTCTAAACTCAGTCATTGTTAAGTGGTTTTACGAAGTTCTTGTAATATCGTGGTAATAAAATAAAATAAAATAAAATAAAATAAAATAAAATCATTCGATCCTATGTTTTTATTTTAAACGTACATGTGTATACTCTCGCACTGGGTAAAATTAGGTTGTCATTAGGTATAAAAAGACCCAGTATAAACCTCATCAGAAATACTAACGTGACAAAGCTTGGAACGGATTTATTTTTATTATGGACAGGCAACCAAACACCTGCACAATCTAGGGAAATCCTGGACTGAAACACCGCCAGTTATTCCTTTACCAAAATAACTATTCCAAAGTAAGTCGTTACATGAATATCAATACAAAAACGCGAAAACATCAAGAAACAATACATTGAAAAAATCAGTTAATCTAAAGTTTTGACATCATAATTTCATAAAATAGGTCCAAGGATATTTATTTTTATCTTTAGTTCCCAGAGTCTTTTTCGTTCACAGACAGTCTTGAGCACAGATCTCACTAGCCACTTGAGCTCCACCTATTAAGCTCTAGTATAGGTGAACAGTTACAGAAAGTAGCCCACCTGTTGCTGTGGAAATGTTGGTAGTGGAACTGTATAGTGTGCTGCTGTGCAAATGTGTGAAATTTGTGTGGAAGATTAGAACAAAAGAGCAAGAGTTTCACTGTGAAATATTATATGTGGTCTTGTATCTTTTACATAGCTCATCTCACTGTGTGCCTGTGTGTGTGTGTGTGTGTTAAGAGCAGCACCATCACCAAGATAGTTTGGTTGTAGTTTTAACTTGCTAAGTAATATAACTATATAGATAAAATTACATCAAATTCAAAATGGGCTTATATTTTTCAAAAAACAATAAAATTTCTCACTTCCAACATTTGATATCTTGTCTTTGTACTATTTTCAATTAAATGTAGGGTTTAAATGATTTGCACATCATTGCGTATTGTATTTATTTACATTTTGCTATGCATATCAACTTTTTGGAACTAGGGTTGTAAAATTACTGAAAACTACAACTGAACTACAAAACCCATGGTTCTGTGCTGGTATTGTTGTGTGGGATGTTTGACAGTGATGTCCTTCGCATGACAAACATTGTCAATTGGAAGGAAAATGTATACATATATTTTAGCTCCTTTTTAAAATATATGCCTATGTGCTAAATATATTTACCATGCAATTAAATATTTAAGTTATGTATATATATATTTTTTTTTTAAAATATGTATATTTACATATGTAGATTAAATATATGTAATAATGTCAATTTTTAATATTTAAATATATATCAAATGTATATGGAAATATATTACAATCTTGACATATTTTGAACAATATGTGGAATTTATCCTTTGCTAATAGATTTTGGAAAAAAAATCACTCATAAGAAAGTGTGTTTTTGTCTTTTACTGTCAATTAATAATTTTGATCATTGTTAAATTGTCATATCTAACCGAATATTTTGGGTTACATTGTACATGTGCATCACTTCCATTTCACTGTTGACCTAGGCTTTCATCACAAACAGCAGAGGGCGATCTGACCACTTCATGCATACTGAGTGTTGCGGTGAGAGAACACTGATGGACCTAAAAGAAAATATTCTAAAATTGTGAATTCTGTCAAACTGGTGAGGCTGAGAGATGCAGTGCTGCCCTGCAGAGTATTACATAACATAACAAACAACATATGAAATGCTAATTAGGCAAGAATGCTCATTTAATACCCTTCAGCGAGTTAAATATGTTTCCAAGTAACCATTTACAAGTTATTACTACTTTGTAAGCCAATTCTATTGCCTGACATATTAACACTGTCCACAGCAGTTCTGTCTGTGACCGCAGAGAAGGGCTACATTTATGAGCAGTGATGTCCTGCTTGAAGAAACCGTAAACTGAAGTTACCCTGTAAGTTGCATTTTTCATTTCATTCCTTTAAGTCACTGAACTGAAGTTGGTGTTCAAGCTTTGACCCAAGCTGTTTTTATTAGCAAGCTAGGCAAAAAGACCTCATGTAGCCAAGTTGCTATGACAACACACTCTACTGAAACACACACTTTTTTTTTGGTAGAGGAGGGTACAGGCATTTTCAACGAGGTTATTCATTGGAGGTGTAGGCGGAAAAGGGACACATAGGCTAATATTAGACAAATCATAAGTCTACGCTCCCTGACTGTTCATCAGCTCAGTTTCCTGTTCATCTGCTCTGCAGCTCTTGCTGTGGTGGGACATAGGATAGAGTCACCGGGGGAAAAGCCAAATAACTAATGAAATGCAAGCATGAGTGATCCACATGTTTTTTCTCCAGTTCAGTCTCTCAGGAAAAGCTGTAAACACAGTGAAATAGCACAGATGTTAAATCTCTCACATTCCACTCTAAAGCGGAGATGACACAGTCTCACAAACGCAAAACCAACAGAGAAAGACATTACACAAGTTTACCATGACAGACAGACATAGACAGATAGACCGAGTCAGATAGACAGACAGACCGACAGACAGATAGACAGAGAGACAGATAAACCAACAGATAGATAGACAGATAGATAGATAGATAGATAGTCTTATAGACAGATAGACAGACAGCCACAGACAGATAGATAGATAGATAGACTGTCAGATAGATATATAGATAGATAGTCTTATAGACAGATAGACAGACAGACAGATATAGTCTTATAGACAGATAGACAGACAGACACAGACAGACAGAGATAAATAGATGATAGATAGATAGATAGATAGACTGTTAGACAGATAGATAGATAGATAGATAGATAGATAGATAGATAGATAGATAGATAGATAGATAGATAGAGACAGACAGTTTTAAAGCCAGAGCCAGACAGATAGACAGACAGAGATATTTAGACAGTCATATAGATTGACAGATATATAGACAGACAGACAGACAGACAGATAAATAGACAGATATATAGGCGGACACATACACAGACAGTCATACAGATAGATAGATAGGCAAATTTATTTATTTGTACATTTCATACACAAGGTGATTTTACAGTGACTTACATAAAAAAGCTTAATAAACACATCACAAAGCACTTATGAAGGAAAATAAAGACAATAAAGCAACAGTTTAAAATAAAATTAAATATTTTAGAAAAAAATAATACAAAAAACTACTACTACTACTACTACTACTAATAATAATAATAATACATGAGCACAAATACATAAAATACAAAAATACAAATACAAGATATACCTGAAATGAAAATCATAAGGCCTTAAAAAATAATAATAAACTAGTATATTGGAACGACAGTGCCTGTTCTGAGGTTAATGGAATAGCTGCCCTCATGTAGATATGACACAACTGCACACTCTCAAAAAGATCCAACAAACCTCACCAGTTAGCTTCTATCAACACTACACAGACGGCTCTGATGTCTGTTTATCTCCCTCTTATTCATACCGCAGCTTATTACTGATAAGTGTTTTCACAGCCTGCAGAATAATATATATTCATTATTAATCAACTTTAAAATCCTAAAAATGTAGTCTTAAATTGTGTTATTGTTACATTTATGTATTTTTTATATATTCTTATTTTAACTGGGGCCCATAAGACCCTAGTTACACCACAGCTCTTAATACATAAGTATTTCAGTTAATCAGTTAAAAACTGAATTAGTTTAATCAGGCAGTGCATTTTTTTCACTTTCTACACTGAAAATGACTCCCTCAGTATGGATGATTCAGTGTTCACTGAGCCCAGAAACGAGTGAAATTAATATTTAAGGAAACACAGGAGAACTTCCCACCACATCTGACTGTAGTCCAATTGTGTAAAAATGAGAGTGATTCACTGAGGCTAACTTCCCAAGAAAATGAGTAATCCTGGACATCATTACAGTGGCAGTGGGGAGGTTTTTCAAGTGACGAAAGACTTGGAAACACATCTGAAAAGATAAAGGAGAAATATGAGGGAAATCCCAAAGTGCAGACTCACTAGTGAAATCCCTGGACTTTTGCAGACACATGATTTTGTAACGGTCATTAAAAAAGCCACAAATCAGAATAAGTGCTTCAATAAAAATGAACAAAATGAACTATTTAGAGCATAGATTATGGAATACCCAGGAAAAAAAAATAAAGAAAAATTTCATGATGTTTCGTAATGAAAGTGGCACAAATAATAATTATAATAATAATAATAATAAACAATAAATAATGTATATATAACAACAAAATATAATGGATCCATAACATCCATCAAGTGCGTACATAACGGTTTAAAAATAATTATATTGATTAAAATCATCAACTTAGCATACAAAAAAAATTTAAACATCAGTGCGCATTGTGTAGTGCAGTGCAGACTGCAACAGAAAGGTGTGCAGTCAGAAAAAAAACATGAACCATTTTATAAATAAAAAAAAGAAAAAAAAGAAAAAAATAATTTAACGTTGCGCCAAAAATTAAAGCTGTTGTTGCCATCTGGCAACACCATGCAATAAAGGATAAGAGAAAGAGAACATCTCTCTGCTGCCTTTTTCCAGCCTGTTTAAAGCCCATCTGTGGTAGAAACACAGACCTACCTGACCGTTGATGTTACTATGGCAGAAATATAGGAAAAGTCAATAACAGTGGTGCTTATCCCCACAAAACAATAATGCGAGTGATAAGTCAGTATTAAATCAAATCTAATGAAGTTGGAGTCCAGTGAGTAATTCTAATGGAGTCACATTAATTTGAGGATAAGTTGAAATCCATCATGCTCTCAGAGGAAACCCACTTGGCATGCCTTTGAGTACTAGCCAGTCCTCTTCTTCAGTAAATAGCCAAGGACCATTACCACAGCCAAGCCAACAAAGGATCCAACAACAGCCCAGAACGTGATGCGGCTGCCATCTGTGAGAGAAGAGCAAAATGAATGTGATTCAGATTTTATCTTCTTTTACCTCAATCTATTCTGGCCTAGCAAAGAAGCTCTGAAGCTATGAAGCTAGTATAGCTAAGAATGCAATCTTATACTGTGCCAGTTAGCACTGTGCTAACTGCGTGCCTAAGTGTTCATACATTTGCCTCAAACTGTAATGTTTCCAGTAAAACATGCTTTTCCGAACTGTGATGCATTAAAACAGACAAAAGCATTAATCAAATTCAGGCCTGCTACTACTGTTTTAGCTATGCTAACGGCTAACGTACATCTGTCCATTCTTAAAGAAATACGGTATATCATAGAGTGTCATAAACCACATAAGCCCAATTAGCACTGTGCTAACTGCATGCCTCAGTGTTCATACATTTGCCTTAAAACATTTCCGGTAATACATACCTTTCCAAACTGTGATGCATTAAAACAGACAAAAGCATGAATCAAATTCAGTCCTGCTACTACTGTTTTAGCTATACCAAAATATGTCTGTCCATTTTTAAAGAAACACAGTATATCATAGAGTATCATAAACCACATAAGCCCAATTAGCACTGTGCTAACTGCGTGCATAAGTGTTCATACATTTGCCTCAAACTGTAAAGTTTCCTGTGAAACATGCTTTTCCAAACTGTGATGCATTAAAACAGACGTTCATCAAATTCAGGCCTGCTACTACTGTTTTAGCTATGCTAATGACTAACGTACGTCTGTCCATTCTTAAAGAAATACAGTATATCATAGAGTGTCATAAACCACATAAGCCTAATTGACTGCATGCTTAAATGTTCATACATTTGCCTCAAACTGTAGTTTCCTGTAATACATACTGTTCCAAAGTGTCCTGCATTAAAATGGACAAAAGCGTTAATCAAATTCAGACCTGCTACTACTGTTATAGCTATACTAACATATGTCTGTCCATTTTTAAAGAAATACAGTGTATCATATAGTATCATAAACCACATAAGTAAGTCAATTTAAGATTACTTAACAACTTTACACAGTTTGAGGTGAGCGTATAATGATTTAGTCTCACAGCACGATGATAAGTAGAGAAGTAAAGCCTCAATTAGCTACGTTAGCCCTAATAGCTCCAGTGCAAATCTAAGTTGGCAAACTTCAGACACGTGCCTTAGCTGATCGACTGTATCTGGGAAATGGGGAAAAGTATAAGTAAGATGTTTTTGCAGGACTATTGCTTGACTTACAGCGTACAGTAATGCCAAGAACCTGCGATGACACTTTCAGAGAAGGCCGAGATCCATCTATGTCCCAGCCCAGTTCTGCTTCACACCTGTACTGAGCTCCATCATCATCTCTGCTGGGGGAGATCTGGAGTGTAGCAGACAAATTCCCTGGGCTTTTGCTGGAGTCAGTAAAGGTTATATTTTCCACTAGAGTGTCTCCTTTGTACCAGTTCACTGTGAGGAACGCCACAGGAGCAACTTTGTAAATGTCACACTGGAGCTCATACTGTCTACCCTTAATCATCGGCCTGGTGTGACCCACAGTGCTGATGGACACCCTGTCTGGAGTCTCTGTTTAGAGAAAAAATGAATATGTTGAAATGTTTACAGCAGTAAAATTCAGATATTTAGACAACACAATAAAACCCTACAATGAACAGTTATCATGAAATTAGTACCGTACTGTACTGTAAAATTCATAGAACAATGATAAACATACAATATACATATGAATATTCCAAACATAGTGCCCAAGGTCACCTTGCTCCAAAAAAAAAATACTGAATATTCCATGGTATTTGTTACAAGTGCCTCAAAGACCTTATCCAACTCAATGAAGATGAATTCCTTTAAGTAGTACTACTAAGTTCTTTAGAATGGCTATTGTACTATGTAACCATGTTACAATGCTAACTGAAATGAATCCATTTTTGACCAATAGGGGGCATAAAGTTTCACATGCTGCGCCACAGAGCTACCCTGTCACGGTGCCATGATGTACAGTCTCTAATGTTTTCACAACTGTGAATTACAATGAACCTTTTATTTAATATTTCCTTAAGCTTAATCTTTAGCCATTTACCCACTCATGCTGGGTTTCTTCTGAACTCAAGGGGAATAATAGTGAGTTTGCTCCACCTTTGCTGCTGTAACAGCCTCCACTTTTCTGGAAAGGTTTTACACTAGATGTTGGCACATTGCTGTAAAGATTTGGTAGCATTCAGCTACAAGAGCATTAGTGAGGTCAGGTACTTATGTTGGATGATCAGTTCCAGATTACTCCAACTCATCTTAAAGGTAATGGGTGGAGCTCCATCACTTCAGCAAACACAATTCCACTGCTCTACAGCAATAAGCTTAGGGGCTTTATACCCCTCTAACTGGTATTGGGCATGATAACCTTAGGCTCACATGCAGCTGTGCAGTGTTCCATTCTATTGGCAGTGATCTTGTATGGGTGTTGCATAAGCTGTGTGTGCACAAATTAACACCTTAAAGTAGCTGACACTGCTAATTCCTTGAATTAGAAGGGGTGTCTGGATGCTTTAGGACCCATGCGTCAAACACAAGGCCCGCAGGCGAGATCAGGCCCGCCACACAATCCTTGTCGACCCGTAAAAGTATTTTAATGTTCTATTAATATTAGCTGGTTTCATAATGTGCTGCACTACAGTCTCCAGCGCGCACTGCAATGTAAGGTGTAACGACTCTCCTACGCCAACAACAGTCTATGGGACAGCGGTTACACCTGAATTCTACACAATTCTGCGCAATTCCACCCCAGTCATATCACCAAAATGCATTTCAGCTGCAGTTCAACCAACATAAACACTTCACATCAGCTCAGCAGCTTGGAAACTGAGCCCAAGTCTTAATGAACTCGCAGAAAAGGAAGGATGCCAGGTGTCCAGATCAAGCAAATAGGTAGGTTTAAAAGACCGAGCTCCTGGGGACACTTAAATTTTTAATATTTCAAGTATTCATGTAATATTTCAAGGTCTACTACAAGTGTCTATGTTGTACTGTTGAAGTTTTTGCATATTTTGAATAAACAATTCAAGGTTACAGCGCAAAATTTATTAAAAATGAAATAAAAAACTTTTTTTTTTTTCTCTGGCCCACAGATTTGATGAGGTTTTTTAATACGGCCCTTTTACTAGTTGAGTTTGACACCCTGCTTTACGACATAATGTAACAATAACAATAATATTTGATATGTTGTTGATAAAAACTATGCTGATCTGGCACATGTAAATAATTTATCTACAGACATTCAGTATCAAACACATTACCAGTGCTCTCTTGATACAGTTCAGTAACCTACTTGACTCCAGGTTTTTCCACAAACAGTCCAAAAAGTGATTCAATAAATAAAAGCTGCAACAATTGTTATAAATTGTTATAAAAAGCTTTATAATTACAGCATTTACAAATAGCAAAAATATACATATCTCATATACAGTGCTGGGGTGAAAGTTCTATGCTGTAGTGGAAATTGCTTATCATTATGTTCAACAGTGTGCTTGCGGAAGTGTACATTCAAGACTGTAAAAACAAAGATATGAGAAACTGCAGGAAATGGGTCATGGGGAACAGTCAGTAATGGGTAAGGCCATTCTCTTAAAGGCGTGCACTACTGCTGGCCTTTTACAATTGAAAATCAAAACTCTCCACAGGCAGTTCCCTCCCTCAGTCATTCCTTGAACACTGTTCAACATATTTCCAAGTGCCATTTTTCTTTGGACATCCTAAACTGAAAAAACATTTCTTTACATATATACATACATCAACAATATGGCATAATTTAACATAATTCTGTCTAAATAAATATTCCTTCAGTATGTCTTCAAAAATAAAAAACTTTCTAAGACATAATTACAATGCAAGCTATGAAAAGACCTTTTATCTAGCACACATGGTAGCTTACAGTATTCTCAACAGTGTCATGATCTAGTGGTTCATTAAAACACTCTGGGCACAAATTACAATGGGAAAAGTAAAAACACATACAACAATTATGAACCTCTGAATACTGAATACCGGTGCCTCGAAATTTGCTGTACTTCTTTATCACAGCAGAAACAGTAGTTTAATTAGAGTGGGCTCCATGGACACAGCATAGGACATTCATTTCCAGGGGTAAGTTTAAAAAAGTCAAAAAAATAGTCAACCTGACTGTAGGGTGACTAGCACACATTGAAAAAAATAGGTTGCTGAAAGCATCAGGGGGAGCTTGGCTCAGTGAACATCCAGTCCCTTCCAACTGGACCAGCCCAAACGGGTCCCAGGCAAGACCTGCACGTTTCAGGTTTGCCAGTGCAAAGGTGCTCTAATCCCTTTGATCCACAGTTGGAAAGTCTATAAAAAAATCACACTGAGTGGTAAAAGTCAGCATACTGGGGGGAAAAAAACCCAGACAAGTACATCCTACACGCAGATGCTGTTCTGTGAGAGTTTCTTCATGGGTATTGAGCTGTCTTTGCCATTCTGTGCCACGTTTCCATTTTGAGCGTTGGGTTTGGCACCTTCCACTGAGTAACGGCCCATCTTGGTGTTTTTGTAGTAGATGGAATAGATGATGACGAAGATGACTGAAGTGATCACCACCACAAGTGCAACAAAACCTGCAATTAGGGGCAGGTAGTCCTCTGTGTCGAAAGAAACAAAACGAAAAAAAAAAAATAATCAATCGCAATACAGGTAACAGCTACTTTATCTAATTTGGACTAAACATGCCATGCCAAAATGAGCAAAAAGACCCAATCTAGGCCTGTGCTGCTAATAGACTCCTCTTATTCGGGCAAATGTGTGGAAAATAAATGCAGTAAATAGTTAAACAGCACCTTCAGGGCTGGTTCTGTGGTTTACATTTTATTTTTAATTTCAGGCTCTAACACTGAAGCAGGAATGGGAGCAATCACAGCGATAGCATGAATAGAAAAGCATGATTGAAAGAATATAACAGCATAGTTTAGTAAAAGTTGTGGTTGTACTAAACTGTCATCATTAATTTGGTCACAAAACGTCGCAACTTTACTGTCCGAGGCCTTGGTGTCTGTAGCGTATTAGGTTGATGCCTTCTTGTCTGAGGTGGTTTCGCCTGATGCCCAACTGTACAAAAGCTGGGACTTGACCTTGTTCCCCTGAGACACAAAGCTGTTTTGTTTTAGAATGTCCTTAAAAGGACACAGACGGCTTTGGCATGATATCTGCCTGCCTCCACCGAGTGTGTTCAACCAGCGCAGTTCATAAACTGCACTGTAAAAAGTGAGAAGTTTGCTCAACTTAAAATGATACAGTAACTGATTACATGGCTTTTCTTGAGTTGACTACACTTGAGGACACAAGAGTTCACACAAGTCAAAAGTTCTCCCAGCTACTGTTTCTAGGTCTGCATCGCAGTTAGATAAACAAAACTGAATTTGTGTTTTTTTACTCAATTTCTCCACTAGCTGGCGCTCCTTCTATCACACAGTCACATCTGGCATATTTTCCTCTTAGGCCTGTGGATATGGACAGCTGTGGTATTGCTGGGATTAAAACTCACAAACTCCTGATGTTGATGTTAATTATTAGACAGTTGCACCACATGAGACGATGCCTTGCAGTGTATTTTAAACATTTGTAGACGCAAAATCTGAGTTGCTTCTTGTGTTCCTGAGTGGTGCAGTGGACTAAGCCATCACCCCAACAGGAGGTTGTGAGTTTGAGCCCCAGCGATGCCATAGCCATCCATAAGTGTGTACCCAAGAGGAAAAATGTCTAGTAGCATTGTTTGATGGAAAGAGTCGTAGCTAGTGGATAAGTTGAGTATAAAAAAAACAAGTTCACTGTATTTACCAAACTGAGGCACATAACTAAAACATTAAGAGAACTTAACTAAGAAGTTTGAGTTGTGTGAACTCTTGTGCCCTCAAGTTGAGTCAACTCAAGAAAAGCCATGTAATCAATTACTATATCACTCTGAATTGAGCTGACCTCTCATTTTTAACAGTATGTGTTTCTAGATCACATTTCTATTAGGTATAATAACTGTATTATATTAATGTAGTCTTTCCCATAACCCAACATGTTTAAAAGGTCAGTTATGTTCATGGGTGGGAATCAATGCAAATCAGTGCATAAAATAAATCAATAAATCAACAACAGGTGTTTAAACCGGTGGTAAACAAGTGTTTTACCGTAACTGAGGACTGTTACCGCAGTAACTCGGTTAACTGCCAGCAGGCACGGGTCTGACACAATCCATCATGCAAACAATGGACCAAATGTAGGCAAAACAAGGAGAAACTCCCTTACTAAAAATTCCCTGCTGCTTTACCACTAACAAAGAGATATGAGTGAAATGTAAACAATCAGCCACACCAGAATGAACACCATGCCACAGACAAAATATCTCCCTGAATGCCTTGGCAAAAACATTTTGACTTATATTTCTATGCCAAGCTTTCAGCGTTTAACCAGGGGTTGTAGATCAGACGTTCCCAAGAGAGCGCAACCAACACGCCGGCTGAACAAACACACTTTTCACAACTGTGTTGCATAGCAATACTCATATAAAAAGGAGGACAGAAAGTGCCTGTGCAGGGGTGAGTGAGGCTTTAGCAGAGCTGTTTGCCAGTCTGTTCAGTAGCACAGCCTTATCTTAATGCAACATGCCTGAACACATTTGACAAATTTGACACATTTGTCAACAAGACCACATTGAAAGAGTGTTTTTAATTCCCTAAAACGTAGGTTAAATATTCAGTTATTCATCTTAAGATTTACAATTCAGTACCTACTATAAACTATTCACTAACTACTATGAAGCCAATACGCGAGTTCTGCTATGAGATTGAGGAGTTTAAGGGCATGAAGACATACAAGCCGTTAGTGTTTTATTGGGTTAAAAGCACCAGTGTACAATCATTTTGCAAGTACCATAACGGTGTCAAAAGAATTCGGTCCTATACATTTATAAATCATAACGCTACAAACATTGGAGTCTATAAGCATGACTGTATTTCAGGTTTCTGGCCCTAAACAGTACACATTCATGCGCAATCAGTCCAGTATAAGGAATATACACCTTTCAGAAGTTTGGAACCACTTTTTTCATTAACATAACACCTTTTTTTGACGACACATGCAAAATTCTAACATGATGCTACACCTACACAACTTTATAGATGTAAACTAATTTGTAGGAAGCTATAAACAATTAGGAAATGACAGATGTGTCCAGAATGACGAACAGTAGCGTATAGATGATTCTAAAATGACTGACAAAAAGTTAACATTCAAAAGTGGTGATCAAATTGAGGTAGCTAACCTGACAAGTATCTTATAAATAGGTAATTCCTGTGTAATAGTTATCATTTAATATAATATGTCTTAGCATTCTCAAAAACTTGAAACACTAAACATCGTAAAATCCATTCTAGTGTCTATAATGTAAGTTTTATGACAAGTGATTCCAAACTTTTGAACAGTAGTGTAGTTATAGTTGGTCATGCAGGCTCAAATCTCCTCTCTATTGAAAAGAAGCCAACAGGAATATGAATTTTAGTGAGTTTAAAGCTCAGCACTAAGATACTTGTAGACAAACTGAATAATACAACGTGAATGGAAGGAGAATATTCTAGAACAATGTGAATGGGAAGAGAATATTCTAGAATAATGTAAATGGAGGTAACATTGTAGAATGGATATGGGAGTAAGGGAGGGCATTCTAGAACAGTGTGAATGGAAGAAATATTCTAGCACAGCATGAAGAGCACAAACATTGTAGAACAGAGAGGACAAGGGAGGATGTTCTACAACAGTGAAAGGATTAAGTATTCTAGAACAGTGTAAATGGAAGAAATATTCTAGAGCAGTATGAAAGGCATAAACATTCCAGAACAGAGAGGACAAGGGAAGATATTCTAGAACAGTGTGAAAGGATCAAGTATTCTAGAACAGTGTAAATGGAAGAAATATTCTAGAGCAGTATGAAAGGCATAAACATTCCAGAACAGAGAGGACCAGGGAAGAAATTCTAGAACAGCGTGGATGGAAAAAAATATTCTAGAACAGTATAAAGAGCATAAACATTCTAGAACAGTATGAAGGGCATAAATGTTCTAGAACAGAGGGGAAAAGGGAGAACATTCCAGCACAATATGAAAGGAGAAAGCATTCAAGAAATGTTTGAGTGGGGAAAACATTTTAGAGCCTTGATGGAGATTTTGAATAAATATTTCCTTAATTAGTAATCAAATAGATTGGATTTTGTGATCAATAACCAAATGGGTAGTATTGGCTAACAGAGAATATGAATTCTCTCACAAAGTGTGGGCCTTAGTCTGTCTGCATAGGAGGTTCTAGACACTGGAAAGCCCCTGGGTTCACAGAGAGGCCTGTGTGTACCTACCGACCCAGTGAAGAGAGGGGCAAGTTGACCTTGAAAAGTAGAGCAGACTGGTAAAAACTGGTTGAAACCAGTTTTTAGGAGTGAGCTCAACAAGCGATGGCCAAAATGATGGACGAAGAGGTGCACCTATTAGAGAATGAGCTAATATCAAAATTTGAGAAGTAAGGCGGGGGGATTTCAGATAAATGGTGTATAAACTGTTGTTTGAAACACTGTATTTGCGCAGCTGGGTCTCTTGAGACCCTGTGCCACCTGATGCTGAAATAAAGAAGAAGCCTTTTTCCCTCTTCCACAAACTCAGCGTCTGAAGACTCTTTCCTTTTTGACATCTTTTGAGAACTCTGACTTAAAACAGTTATTAGTGAAAGTGTTTAGGCGGTATTAAAAGATTTCTTTTTATTCATTATATTATGTTGGAGGCCTGGGGTTGAAGGGGATAGCCATTGGTCCCGACAGCCTCTTAAAAATCATACATAGGTGTGGCAACCAAAAGAATTTTGGGCCAGTATATGAGTCGGACAGGCCTATGTATCCAGGAATATTATGTATTTCATGACTTTAAAGACTTGCTCAAAACAAGTTTTTTACACAGCCTCTGAGCAAACTGCCAATTTAAAAGTGTAAATATAGTCTGCTAACATAGCAGCTTTATGGGTTACAACATCTCACTGACTTTGATTTGCTGGGGCTTTCCATTTGTTCTTGTTGGGAAGGCACCAACTAATGCTGTCTTTGGGACATTTCTTATTCTCTGTACTTGAATTCCTGAATACTGAATGCAGCTTGGCCAGAGAAGCATGACATCAAACAAGAATACAAAAACAAACAATAACACATATTGACAAACAGTCCTGAATTAGGAACAGGTAAGCTAGTAAGTCATGCTCAGAAGTGCCTCTGAAGCTTGTAAATGAGCTAGTGCTATTGATAAAGAAAACAATGAATAATGAATAGCAGGAATAAGGTCAGCAAAAACATTATTACCTTTCATGGTCACTGTCACAGTTCTGAAGGTGGTCCCGACTGAATTGCTTGCAGTACATTTGTATTCACCAACATTCTCGTTTGTGGCTTCCATTATGGTCAGGTGTCCTTGCTTAACCTCAGTATTTGGTTTGAGGCTCCAAGTGATAGTGGGTGGTGGATAACCCTCGGCCTCACAGACAAGCGTTTCTGGATAACCCCGAAACACTGGTACATCTGACGGCAATTTAGCCTTGTTGATAACAGGCTTGTCTTTAGAGAGAAGAGAGCAAAGACAGGTGAGGAGAAAGACAGCATTAGAGACACTGCATGAGAATGACATACTGCATATGAATCATTACACTGTACTTCCTTAATGAATAACTTTCTGAAGCTCACAGCTCACTGACCCAACGTTCTCAACAAACTCCGACAGGCTAATGACGGCTTAAGAATGAATTAGAGAAAGAACTGCTAAAATAAATAATCCAGCGTGAGAAAGGAAAAAAATGGAGGAGAACAATCTAGAAGAATCTGAATGGAGCAGATATGCTAGATCAGTGTGAATGAGGGCGTATTCTAGAACAGTGTCACCGGACAGGCATATTCTATAACAGAGAGGATAAGGAGGAACATTCTAAAACAATGTGAAAGGCAGAAACATTCTAGAACAGAGAGGGAAAGGGAAGACTTTTTAGAACTTTCTAAAAAGGGAAGATATTTAGAACATTCCAAAACAGTGTGAACTGAGGAAACATTCTAAAGTAATGTGAATGTAGGAGAACATTCTAGAGCAGAACAGATATGGGAGGTCATTCTATAGCAATAAGATTGGGACAAACATTCTAGAACTGTCTGAATGGGAAGATAATATTATAGAACATTGTAAATACAACACAGAGTATAAGGGGGGATATTCCAAAACAGCATGAATTGAAAAAGCATTCAAGAACAATGTGGATGGAGAAAAATATTCTAGAACGGTAGGAATGGAGGAAACGCTCTAGAACAGTGCGAATGGGGAAAAACACTGTGGAACAGTGTGAATGGAGGAGACGTTCTAGAACAGTGCGAATGGGATGTAAAACATTTCAGAACTGTGTGAATGACAGAGGGAGAACATTTTAGAATAGTGTCAATGAAGAACATTCTAGAACAGCGTAAATGGAGGTAAATTTTCGATCAGTGTGAAATGGGGAGAATATTACAGTGTCGATGGAGAAGAACATTCCAGAACTGTCTGAATGGGAAGAGAATATTATAGAACACTGTAAATAGAAAAGAACATTCTAGAACAGAAAGGATAAGTGAAAATATTAGAAAACAGCATGAAAGGAATAAGCATTCAAGAACAATGTGGATAGAGAAAAATATTCTAGAAGAGTATGAATGAAGGAAACAATCTAGAACATTGTGAACTGGCAGAATATTACAGTATCAACGGAGGAGAACATTCTAGAACAGAGAAAAAAAGGGAGGACATTCTACAACAGTGTGAAGGGTAAAAGCTTTCAAGAACAGTGTGAATGAGGAAAACATTCTAGAGACTCCTAAAAATCACACACGTGTGGCAACAAAAAGTTCAGGTTTGTTGGGCAATGTTGGGTCAGTAATATGGGTCAGGAATATGTTTGGACTTTTTCTATGAACCATCAGAGGTGAGGAACTTACAGTGCACAATAATGTTGAGTGGAGCTGATTTCCCTATAAGAAGGAGAGGTCCTCCTGATGTCTTTATGACTTTTGCCTCACATTTATACTGAGTTCCATTTTCTGCTCTGTTATGGGAGACTGTGAGATCATGAGACCAAGTCTTGTTGGATTTAGTCGTTTCGGTGTCACCAATAGATGCACTTTTCACTCGTTCCCCTCCTTTGTACCAGCTCACTTCGACGTGACGAACAGGAGCAACATATTCAACGATACAACGGAGCTCATACTCTCTGTCCTCAATCATCGGCCCTGTGTGCCCCACAGTCTCGATGGACACCCTGTCATGAGTCCCTGAAAGACAATACACATTACAAATCAGTTAACTGAAGAAATGCAATACAAAAACTGCACAATGTTTATCACCGTTAAACCAGCAGTTTACATATGTCGTAATTTCTAGTTTTTACCATGTATCACTCACCTCTACTGTAAACTCTTTCAACTGTTCAGTCCTTAATCTTAAGGCTTGTTATCCAGTAACTAATACAAACTATTCAGTAACTACTATGGAATGAATATGTGAGGTTTCTAGTAAGTAAGGGGGGGTGTAGAGAGGTTAAGAGAGTAGGGAAAGCGTTAATGCAGCGATGTTAAACTTTATATTCACGAAAATGTGCAGGGCAGGGTCTCACAGGAGTCTCTAAAATATTATGACAGTGGCTTTGTTTTTTTTTTTGTTTTTTTTCAAAAACATATATTTTTAGGCCCAAACCTTCTCTAAACTATTGTCAAACAATGTCTCAGGTATCAGGTGGCATAACATTTAATGTAATAACTTTCTGTAAGGGAGCTTTTAGGGGCATCAAACTCTTCAGACGTCTGGTTCCTATCACCACCACTGCAAACGGAGCATTTCACATCAAACCACTCAAAATGACTTTACATCTTAAAGGAGAATTTCCTTCATAAATTAATGGTTGAGATGTAAACAAAGTTATTCCGAGTGGTTTGATGTGAAGTGGTTAATTGTAGAGAAACTAAAGACTCCGATTTCTTTACAGTGGTAGTGACAGGATTTTTGATAATGGTAAAATACAGTAAAACTGGAAAAAAGTACATGTTCTTTGGGTACTATTTTGCCTATCAACGCCCTGCTTGTACCACTCCGCCCAGAACAGATTCAAAAGGCCAGAATCTTCAATCTTCTACCTCTAAAGTGTTGTATAACAAGCCCTCAGGCATCATGAAAAGTGTTCGTGACCATTTTACGTAATAACTTTCTGAGATGGAGCTTTTAGAGGCATTAACCTCTTCAGACATCTGGTTCCTGTCACCACCACTGTGAACAATACTGACTCTGTCAGTCTCTCTAGAACAATGCATTTCACACCAAACCATTCTGAATGGCTCTGTTTACACCTTGACAGTTAAATTAATAATTTACACAGAGGTGTAGAGTGAAGGCTGTACCAAAGTAGTACCTTCCGCTTTGGCAAGTCTACAATATTCCAAAGCAACAACAAGGTGCGTCAATACTAGGAGGGAAAAAGGAAAGAGATAAATTGAATAAAAGTTAAAACCTTTCTTATCCACGCTCCCTGCCCAAAGGTCACAAAGGTCTTTGGACATTACACAAGCGCAGTGCTCAATGATTAAATTACCCAGACAGAGAAAGGAAACCCCCCCTGCTTCTAAAAAGGGGCTCCTGAGTTTCCTTTTACACTCTTCACTGGAATGTCAGGTCGTAAAGGGCTCAAACTAACTTATAAAACACTCTGTGTAGTGAATATCTGTGTTGTGACGAGTATTCAACATCACACATTAATGCAGCTGATAAAGAATTTCTTCGGTTTCGCCAGGTCCTTCTTCGAATTTTCCCGTTCCACCTTAAATGGCGCAGCAGTTACATTCTGGCCTAAGGCGCCAGAATGGAACGGCTGCACCTTTTAAGGTGGAACGGAAAAATTCGAACAAGAACCTGGAGAACACGAACCCAACTAAAGCCTTGTGATTCATATTCCCTTTTTTAACGTTCTCAGTATGACAAAAACTGTATTAAAAGTTTTTAAAAGTTATAAATCCTTTTTTAAAAGCTATAAATCTGCCAACGCTGCAGGTCGAAGACAGACCAGCGTTTAACGTTACCAGGTAAAGTAGCCGGACATAAATAAACTGAGCCCACCGTTCAGTACACAGCGCAGCGTCAGCAACTCCAAAATTAGACATGTGTAAAATATCCAGTCGAGGCGCCGCACTGCCATGTTTTTCCCCCCGTAATTTTTCTCAGACGGTTTCTCAGAAGTTAGTGTGTTCTCGGCAGTGGCTGGATACCACACGGATGAGTTCACCGGATGCGAAGCTCCCACGACTACGGCGCCCCCGGCTGCGCGTCCAGGCGTGGAGGAGGCAGGAAAGCGGCTAACGGTTTATCTGAGCTGAAAGTTGCCCTCAGAAAGCCTCCACTGTAGGAGTGAAGGAAATAACCGCACCCACCCCAAACTACTCTAACAAAGCGGAGTAAATGGGCACCGGTAAAGGGCAACTCCACCGATTTTTCAAAAGAATTCTACATAATTAAATGGTTGAGATGTAAACGAAGTCTAGAGAAACTTAGTCAGAATTGTTTACAGTGGTGTTGATAGGAACCAGACGTCCACCTATTAAAGCTCCCTCTACATGAAGTGGTTAGATATAAGATGTCTGAGACACTGTTTTGTGATAAAGTTTTGGCCTAAAATGTGTTTTAATCCATTTATTGTAATCCATTCATGGCGGAGGGATACATGCTGTGAGGCCAAAATAGTCCCCAAAGAAAATGTATTTTTTCAGATTTATGCCTGTTTTATCGTCATCAACATTACATATAAAAACTAAGAAGATGCCTGTAGGTTCACTGGTGCTTCTGGATAGCAAATAAATTAGTTACATTTGTGTTGCAGATTATTTGGGTTACATTTGTGTTGTAGACAAACATTTTATTTAAATACTTATTTTTTCCTGTGATAACACGGATTTAGCTGATAAAATAGTTTTGTATGATGTAATTAGTATGATTAGCAAAAAATTGATCACAGTTGAGAAATCAAAACTGGATAAAGTGCTGCTACTGATTTTGAAGGTGATTTTTAAGGTTATTAGTGAAATTATGAATTTTTATGCAGTTACTAAGGCTGTGAGTTTACTTTCTCTAGTGGTTAACAACTTTGTGATAATGAGTTAGTGTTTTCTCAAGTTGTGTATGTCATTATCACAACATGTTTCTCAAGATCACATCATTTTTAGAGATCTTGAGAATGAAGCTGTGGTAAAGATCAGTGTCAGAAAACAAAGGTACTTAATTTATTCTGCTAACAATGATTGGTATGTTGTGATTATAATATAAATAACTCCAACTTTTGGGAAAACAAATAATAATTAACTCATTACTACAGAAAAAAAGGAAATCCAATGCTTTACTCTTTGTTAGTGTGCTGTGCAGACAACGTAATATACGTGCTGATATTATGGTATGCAGAGGTCATCAGTGGAATGAATAGCATATGGCAATGTGGTGATGTCACCCAGCCCCAGCTTTTCCTTTGCTCTAGGGGTGGGCAATATGATGATATTTTATTGTTATCGTAATAAATTATGTCACAACACGCTTTTGTGAGCATATTGTGGATATCATCAGTACTTAAAGAACACTAATTACATGTTCCATTACAAAGTGAGCATAATTAGGCCTTTCTAATTGGATTTAGCGCAGTGCAGTTTGTAAAACATTGAATAAAAATCATTATAGTGTTGGTTTTGTTATTATTATAATAGTACAGGGAGTTTCACTCGAAAGAGGCCCCGAATTTTCTGTATTAACGCCCGCTAGGATGAAGCAATCTGAACGAAACAATGTGCAGTGTGCTCCTCAGTATATGGAGCTTTGAACAAGTCAGGATGCCCCTGTGTCAGCGCGATGACAAAGGTGCCGGACAGCCACCGCAATATTTAACCTCCGTTTGTAACTTCCGGGTGCATACCCCCGTACCCCTTCATGTGTCTGGCAGTAAAAAGATCACTTCCAGCATTGCATGTAATGCAATCGATTACACATACGTCAAGGTATGTAGCATATTTTTTGGTTCAGATTGCTTCATCCTAATGGGAGTCGCAACAGAATATTCGGGGCCTCTTTCGAGTGAATCTCTCTGTATTTTTATAGGTGGCACTACAGGTGTTGTTCTGTCTTCTCCATTTTATTAAATATCAGAAAAGCTAAATATCACATATCGTGAAAATGTCTTGAAATATTGTGATATATTATCGTTTGCCGTATCATCCATACTTCGCCCCTTTATAAACAGCACACTGATCAGTGATGGATTTCGCTTGTAGCTGGGCAAATGCGCACAACCATTAAATTAATTGTCAGATACTGCACAGGAGTGAGATCCGCTCTGATACTGCTTACTGAATACTTTGTCACTTTATGGATAATGTGATGTATTAGTATTGTGAACACTTACCTTTCACATCAACTCTGACAGATTGTGAAGTTTCTCCCAGCTTATTGGAGGCAGTGCATTTGTATGTGCCAGTGTTAAGTCCAGTGGCGTAATCTATGTATAGCAGAGACACTCCATCAGTGTTGTTAGTCCTCACATTGGGCGCTGGAATGTATTCCCATCTGTATTGTGGGTGAGGCCTGGCGTCAGAAGAGCACTTCAGCACCTCATCGTAACCAAAATCTACCGACTTATCATGCAGCTCTGAAATGCTCACAGGTGGATCTGTGAAAAGAGCAACATCACTATAGTTAGCTTTCTCTACCATTACTGCAGTTCCTATTAATGTGCTGAGACAGTCTCACTGCTGAAAGATGTACACACTTCTACATCCACTGGAAAAGTCATATACTTACACAACATCTCAACTTCCAGTGTGTGGTGGACAGTGGAGCTGCTGATTACTGTTAAGATATACTGTCCTGCATTATTCCTGTTCATTCGTTGTGGGAAATCCACTCTCTCTCCTTCCTTGTACCAAGTCATTTCAGGTGGTGGGTTACCTTCTGCTGAGCAACTGGGTGTAAACATTTCACCTTCTTCAAGTGTAACATGGCTTGAACATGAAATCTCTGGTCCATCTGCAGCGAAGAACAGAAAAACAAAATGTTACTTAATTGTCAAGTCTTGGAAAATACAAAAAAAATATAAAAAAGGTATTTACAGTTATATACGTATAGGTTTATTATTATTATTATTTTATGTCTACTTTTAATAAGATAATGATGTTCAGCTACATTACTAGGCAGTTTACGCAGATACTATACACTGGTTGTTGTTGATGTTTTCTATAGGTTCTCTGCAAGTGGTGCACAATGATATCAGAATCATATTGGCATTGACAGATAATTAATTAAAAAAATTACAGATTTAGACTGACATATCAAACTTTTTATGTAATTTATGTTATTTTTGTTGTAATCCAGACAAGCAGAACAGCTGGGTGATACTTGGTTACATCTTCATTTCATTCATTTTACTGTATTTGAAAACCTCGACAAACAAATTTTATATTTCTCCCTGACGTTATTGCTGGTGGATTTATTTCCAATTTCTTAATTGTATAAATGGTAATGTACCAGCACTGGCAGATATGTACATTAAAAATATTAAACATCTACATCGGTCGACAATTCCCATGTCAGTGCCTCCTTAGTCTGAATCTATATTTGTTGTTTGGTGCTCTAAAAGTACTGATGATACCCAATAAACACTCACAACCATTACATATCATCATATTGGCCACTCCTAAAGACTAGCATTAATATGTGAAGACAAACTTACAGTACACAGTAATTGTTAGGGGATCTGATGTAACTGTAGGAGGAGGTTGAGGTCCTTCTGGTCCCAGATCCAGTTCTGCTTCACACCTGTACTGAGCACCATCATCATCTCTGCTGGGGGAGATCTGGAGTGTATCTGACAGATTCACTGGAGTCTTGATGGGGTCAGTAAAGGTTATGTTTTTCACTAGAGTGTCTCCTTTGTACCAGCTCACAGTGAGGAACTCGACAGGTGCAACATTCTGAATGTCACACTGGAGCTCATACTGTTCGCCCTCAATCATTGGTCCCACAGTGCTGATGGACACCCTGTCTGGAGTCTCTGTTAAATGAAAAATGACTCTCTTTATTAATTGCAGTGCACTTATACAAAAGGTATTACAAATCTATGCATTCCAGAATGTGATGGTTAGTTTAGTAGTAGATACTGAATAATAATCCTTAAGATTAATGACTGAATGATAAGCCTGGGTTCAAGGGGTTAATACTGTGTAAAATTCAAATGAGAGTAAGGATGTTTTGGTCTGTATTATATGTAAATACTGTAAACAAAAGAAAATCATTTATGCCATAATTAAAAAGGAAACTCACTGTATATAATAATGTTGAGCTCAATTTTATCCTGATTATTGTTAGCATCAGTCATGTAGCAAAATGGCTTCATGCCCCATTCTGTCAGGTGCTCCACTGTCCAGGTGACCTTCTTATCATTTATGTCCTTGGTGTATCCCTGAGGCTTCTCCCAATCCAGCAAAGCCTGGTCTGTGACATTTGTGCTGCAGTTTACAGAGACAGAATCTCCGTGACGCACCACAACCTTTGGTGGGTCAAGCCATAACGTACCTGTTTGAAATCACATCACATTAGAGCAGTTTTTCCCAGAACCTGGAGCAGCCCCTTCCTGCACAGTTTAATGTTCTTCCTGCTCTAGCACACCCATTTCATATGAAGGACTTGTTAATGAGCTAATGAGTTGACTGTTGAGCAGGAAAAGCTCTTAAATGTGAAATATGTAGGACAGGGGTGCTCCCATAGATAAATACACGGACCTATTATAATCTGTAATATACAGATTTCAGGGCTAGTCCACTCAGTGAACAAGCTTGGCTCATATTCTACATATTTCTTGTATCTTGTATCCACATTATGTATTTTTACATACCAAAAACAGTCATAATTCATGTTCACATGATCATTTTCCAGCCTCTTAAATCATTACAATCAAGCAGCCCTTTATGTTACTGTTCCTTTAGGTCTAGACACTGTAAATTTCCTCTGTTCTGATTGGTTGCCCTGTTACCCTGTATTGTGTTTCATTCAAAAAAAGCAGTCCAGGTTGAAACACTCCTTTGAACTTTAGTGTGAGTGGGCGGGGCTAAACCGCTGTGGGCTGAGTAGGTACATGTGTTGATTTTAGTGACATCACAAAAACGGTGATTCCAAACTGACGTTGGTTACGTTAATCTCATATGTAAAAAAAACGGCCCTTTAAAAACGATGTCTGCTCGATTCATAAGTCCAAATGAACTGAACATTTTTGTCGCGTCTGCTCAGTGCTTAATTACGTATTGCAGACTGAAGATGAATTAAATTCGAATAGCAATCCTTCACAATTTAGCATCACGCAATTACAATATAAAATACTACACTGAAGAAAATAAAACTTTAACTCTGAATTAAGGAATCACTGAATCGGATTCGAATCAACGGACATTATTTCGCTTCAACAAAACAGAGAGTTCAAAAGAATCGGTTCGGTGAAACTGAGCCGATCTCCTCATTTGAAGTTTGGAGCGAAACAGTATCAGTGAAGTAATAGCGCCCTCGTTTGGTAGAGTAAAGGATTTCTCTTCGCTTGTCACTGTTATACGGTCATTACCACAAACCTAAGGCACAGTTCTGCTTTTTTAGGTAGTCCTCAAGCTCGTTTACTTGAATAACGTGGCCATTAACTAGCATATTAACTACCACGGACAGTTTAGCCGACGTTAACGTTAGCCGAGGGCTAAGGGCAAATATGGGTAGTTTCTTCTCCCAGAAGGACAGCACAAACTTCATACTTGTTAGCGTACTCTAAATTAAATTATCTATTTTAACGTTACAAAATGAATGGAACAAGTTTGTAAGTTAAAACTTGATTCAAAACATTAGCTCGTATCTTTCCACTGTTGCCTCTGTGACAAAAATAAACACGAGGCTTAAGTTCGCTTCTCGTTCCACCTTAAATGGTGCAGCGGTTCCACTGCGGCGCCCTTGGCTCCAGAACGTAGCTGCCGCAGCATTTAAGGTGGAGCGGAGAATTAGTCAACTCAAAGCTGAGCAAAATTAGAAAAATCAAACCACTCACCTGCGACATTTGAGTACAAGTACAAGAAGCCGAGAAAAATCCGCAATAAAATCCCTTCGCACATCTGTTCCAGAAATGTTAGAGAGCTTGGAGGTGAGAACGACGAGGCTGGTCAGAGCCTGAGAATGACTGTTGGAGGATGTGAGCTGTTCAGAGCAGCAGAGACGTCCCTTCTCAGCACTGAGCTGCTAACTGGAGGGAGGGAGAAAGTGACTGAAGAAAAGTGACAGTGAAAGAGGTGTTTGTATCTGGATCCTCCTCCCTCATGACTGAGGGGGTGTCTGGGGTGGTGTTGTGTTACTGGCAGTGCTCAAAGCTACAGTCTAAGCTGTAATCACAAACACACAGCTACTGACCTAATTCATTATATTACTCTTCTGTCTTTAACAGAACTATTATATGGATTTTCGTCTATGTATACTGGGCCAAAAGTTTGAGCATTAAAGCACTGGTAAACTTGAAATGAAGTTTGTTAAGTCTCTTCATAAATGTTTAAGGAGCTCATATCCTCCATTTTCTTCTATTTTATTTTCCCCCCCGAGGTGCCCACTTTTTTTCTTAATTCATTTTTACATGACCATTTTAAATTTAAATTTTAAATTGGCTGTTTTTCTTACTGTGCCTTTAAGACTGATGTATGTAAATGAGCTCTGTTCTGATTGGATGCCCTGTACTGCGAAACACTCCTTAGAACTTCAGCCTGAATGGGCTGAGCTAAACCGCTGTAGTGTGAATAGGCAGACGTATGTTTTAAAAGTGTTGGTTTTTGTGACATCGCAAAAACTATGAATTCAGATGTATCCAAACTGATGGATAAAAGACCCCCGTGCCAGTCAGTAAGCTTTATCTTTGATTCACACACACACACACACACACACACACACACACACACACACACACACACACACATGTATACATTTATGTATTTAAGGTTCACAATTGGACCTTAAGACCACTGCTGTACCTTTGAGGGAACATTTACATTGTTTGTACCTTGAAGAATGAAAAATATACCTGTACTGTACCTTTATTTGTAACAGTGTAATAATAATATATAACTAACAGTAATGATAACAGAAATGTAAAATATGTTAAAAAATTAATCAAAAATATCACCAGTGAACCGGTAAACAGCAAGTTACAGTAATCAAGTCATGAGAAAAACAAAAAGTGTCAGTTTCTTCGTATCATGCAGACTGATATGTGGTGTAACATGAGCAAAAGACCTCATTCACCAACCGTTCTTAAGAAGTTTCTTCTTAAAGCCCACTTACGCAGTTTTATTGCTGATTCTGAAATACAGAATCTGCACTCACTCAAGAGCACAAAGATGCAAACAATTCTGTGGTTTAAGAACATGTCAAGAATCTGACTTTTTCTTAGGACCTTTCTCAAGAACAAATTTAAGAAAAAGCTTCAAAGGACATCAGTGAATGAGGCCCCATGTTTTTCAAGTGAAAAAAGGCAGTTTGAGTAATGTTGTCAATCTGTGCTTTAAAATGTAATTCAGAATGAAACAGTACACCCAGATTCCTCACTTCTGGTTTACCTGTGTGGACAGACTTCCTATTTTTCCCATAATTTTATCTCTGTTAGCATCGGTCCCAACAAAAGAATTTCATTTTTTTTTCTTCATTAAGTTTGAGGAAATTTCTATTTTGGCTATGCAGTCTGTCAGAGACTTTAGTGCAGTAGTTCTGTCTGGCTCAACAGATATATAAAGCTGTGTGTTACCTGTGCAGCTATGGAAATTAACACCATATTTGTTCATAATGAAGCCAAGAGGCAGTATAAAGAGAGGATAGACGGGGTCCAAGAATTCCCCCCTGGGGAATTCCATAGGGCATTTCATGTTTCTATTTGGAAATGTGGTCATCTATAGTGTCAAAGTAGTTTCTACCAATTAAATATGAATAAAAAACACTTATGAACATTTCCTGACAGTCCAACACATTTTTCAAGTCTGTTAATAATTTGTAGTTTGGGGTTATCAAAAGCAGCAGAAAGATCAATCAGTATAAGAAGTGATACGCTGTTCCCATCAGTTTTGATATTGAGGTCATTAACTACTCTAAGTAGTGCCGTCTCTCTACTATGTCCAGATTAAAATACTGACTGGAATTTTCTCAAAATGTTATTCTTGAGGAGAAACATGTTTGGTTGCTTTAGTACCACTTTTTTAAATATTTTTCAGTGCAGGTTGGATATTGGGCTAAAATTGCTCAAGACTAAAGGGTCCAGATTATTTTTCTTCAGTAGAGGTCTCACAGCAATTGGATCTGGAAAGCTACCAGTTTCTAGTGAGCAGTTTACCATATCCAAGATCAAAGTACAGATAGTGTCAAAAACACATTTAACCCCTTCAAATCCCAGGCTTATTACATACAAAGGCCTATTACTCAGTAACTACAGGGACTTCAATGCAAACTGGCTGAGCTATGCTTAGGTTATAGAAGGGTGTAATAAAACTTTGGGCCCCCTGGCCATGTAAGGGTTTTCGAAAAATGCTAAGGGTACCAGATCAAGGGGACACTGAGCGCTAAAGATACTATGTGGGCTGTAGGCTACTGGCTCAGGTACATGGTCAGTTGAGGGCTGAGTGCTGCCTCTAATATAAGGTGTTTTCTTACTGAAAAACAATGCACAATCTTTACATTTTGCAATTGATCCAAATATAAATACGAGTCAGGGATTTAGAAGATGTTCAATAGTCCTATATAGAATCCTAGAGTGGAGCATCATCAGTAATGATGTCAGAGAAGTATTGCTGTCTTTCTAAATAAGAAACCTTTTTATGCATAGCTACATGATTTTAAGGATCTCAAAATGTTTTGCTTTCCTCCAAATTCGTTCTGTTTTACGGGAGTCCCTATTAAGTAATCGTAGTCACTCTTTTTTTCTGGAACAACTTTTGTTTGAGGCTTTAAATTTGTTCAGATGCTGCTACATCTAGGGTTTGACTTAATTCAGCACTTGACCCTTCTGGGGCCCACCAACTCAGCCGTGCATTAAATTCAATGTTTCTATATTTGTTTCTCAATCTTTGCAATAATACAGCACAGAAATACAGTTCAAACATTTCCTGAATCTATAAAGTTGCCCTTTCCATTCCATCTTATCTGACATCTGGAGTTATGGGGCTGTGAAGAGGGGTTTAGAAACAAATCATCTGCCTCTCACCGTCTGTGATTCGGGGGTTCATGTGTCCGTCTACATTTTTGTGAAAGTGACCAATGGACACTCACGAAAATCACTAAGGACTGACTCATCACATTGGAAACCCTTCATTCTTCAATTGTTTGGCATCAGAGACACGTGTGAAATGACATGCAAAGAGTTTACAGCCACTGAAGTTGCTGCAGCACTTTTGGAAAGTAGCAACAAAGATAACAGAGAATTTTCATATGAAACTTAAGGGTATCATATTATTTGCAAGTGCCTTTAAAGGCAAATTTAAGAAGATATGCAAAAATGCCTTCAGACCCCAGAGGGTTAATTTATAAACCATATCATGCACTGAAACAGGTGAGCTAGTGTTCTGGTAATTTCGCAAAATGTCAACAAATTCACTTGTGGTCAATTCCTTAAAATAACGTGTGAAGAAGTGTTGGCAATCCCCACCACCACCCCGTTTCCTCCCTGTTCCTTGGTCCTACGTCAGTCCTATCACAGCTATGAGGGGCGTCTAGCTACAGGCGGAAGCCGCCCAGAAACTCCAGCCCAAGTTTTCAGAGTTCTCCCCCCTCCCTCAATCAGTCTTACTACCACCATATGTTGAAGGCATGGATTGTCAAAATCAACACTGATGGCTGAGTATTCAGTAAAAATGGGGAAAAAAGGGGAAACTTTTCCAAAAGTAATATTTTTCATAGGGGAGTCGATCAGCTATGACAGTGGCAGGCCCACCACCCTTTCTACCATCCCTACCCAACGATAAAAACTATAATGAGGAGGTGAGGAGGACAAGTTTCACTCAAGATTAGTGTCATTAGAACATGGCCAGGTCTCTGTCAGAAATATAAAGTCTAAATGATTATCACATATAAGATCATTTACAAATTCCTAAGGCCCTAATGTTCAGAAGAGCCAAATTAAGTGTAGTGGGGCTACGTATCACAATACAGGGTGTAATATGGAGGAGATGAAGCCAATACATTTGTTCCTAATAACATCTTATCTTCTTTTCCTTTTTCTAACTGAAACAGCTTGAATTTTACCCAAATGTTTCTGACTAGATACATTTCACTGACCATTGGTATCCTATGAGATAACATGCCTAATACTTTGTATTATATCTGCATGTAGTCACAAACAGTGCTTTAGTAAATTCAAGGCTAAGGTGGAGGTGGAGGTGCTATAGCAACTTGGATGTAGCCCATCCCGTCTAAAAAGTGCAAGTCTCTCACGAACGAGTCCCACTTATAGACATTCTTGGCAGTACACCGTTTCTTGAGCCAGTTGTTAAGGGTAATTACGGTAATTAAGAACAGAAAACGGGCTGTATATGATTAATTTGCATCTGTTATCAAACTGATTGATTAAAGAAGTCCTTCTTTTCTTTTTTTAAAGTCATCAGTTCCCACATAAACAATAACAGCTCTAAAAAAAAGACTTGTGAGAATTCGTCCAGCTTGATGGGTGATGTCTGTTTAGCTGTGGGAAAACAGTGGACAGTAAAATTAGAATCCAGCGTAGAGCACAATAGAATCTCCAATTACAGCAGTACCACTTGTGGCTGTGGTGGGATGACGGAGGTATCGAAGAACTTCAAACCTCAAACCTGTTGCTAGTAGCGAGCTCCAGGTATGGTAAAGGGGGAGGCCACTGTTGTTTGAAGTGGCATGGGCACTCCCAAGCAGAGGAGTTTAGGGCGGGAGTGAGGGAGGCTACCGCTGGCATCTGTACTGGTGGGGCCTTAATGTCATGTTCCGCAGAATGGAAGTCAGGGTGTTCCTGGCAGTCCCATTGATGTGAGTCGCCTTCTCCTTGCATTGAATTCTTTTCTTTCCACATTTCTCCACATGCTCTGTTTTGACTGAGGCAAGTTCCAAGTTGATGTCATCTTTACTGCTACTGTTGTCCATGCTGTAGTTCCTCGAGACGAGTTCCAAGTTAAAAACTAAGCTAAAAACAAGGGCTTACTAATTTGAATTGCACTCTGGTGCCCTTATATTGTAATATAGTCATGATTCTGTCTCCTGCATTGAAAGCAAAACATAAAAATAATAA